ATTTAGTTTCTAGGTTGAACACTTCTTTGTTACTTGGGGTCTTTACAAGCATGTATTATTTTTATAATTTGCAGAAACAACAAAAGTATCTCCATTAAAAAAAAATGAAACAGACACCATAAAGGGTCTCTGGCTATGTAGAGGAAGAGCAAGCCCTTGTACTTCTCAAGGTGTTATCCTAACTTCAACCTTCTTATTTTCATGTAGCATCATCCGGATCTGAGTCCATAAAAGGGGAATGGATGAACAACTACTACAATGAAAGAAAGTAATAGGATTCCAGCAGTCTTAAATGTCTTTGCATCTGTCTTCTTCTGGCAAATTTATTCGGTGTCTTGAGTATCCTTCCAGCCTCCGTACCCACAACCTCCCCCTTCTCTGCCTCTTCTGATTTGTCTTATTAGTGAGGCTGAAGTCAGAACTATGTTCATAATACTCTCATGGTAAGTGCTCTGGGCAGCTGCTGGCTTTTTAGACCACAGTCCCCCCAACACAAACAGGGCGACCGTATGCCCGGATTACCTATCATAACCAAGATCTTGCTATGGCAGGGTCCTCTGCTCATCATCTAATAGGTCTCCTGCTTCTCTCCACAAACACAGGACTCAGTCTATGAAGGGATACAATCCCCAACAAAATGATCACTGAGAGACACGGCAGAGACTTTTGCCTCTCTGTATACATACATATGTGCCTGCGCATGCGTGTACACACACACGTGTGTGGGCTGGTCAACAAAATGATAAAATGTTAATGCAGGGGGTGAAAGGAGAGATGGAGTGTCTTGAAATAAAGGCTGCTACAGCAAGATGTGGTAGACAATGGGAATTCTGGGGTCAGAACCAGGTTTGAAACCCAGCTGCCTTGTTTATTAACTGTGTGACCTTGGTCAAATTACTCAGCCTCCCTGAGCTTCCATATTCCCATCAATAAACAGGAGTAACAACATCTTCCACCCAGGGTTGTGACGATTAAATGAGATAAAATATATAATGGGCTTAAACCAGAGGTTGTGTAACAAATAATAGGGTTCTTTCCTTCTTCTCAGACTTTTGTATAGCACTAAATAGCCATGGCAGTCTTGAAAATAGATGTGTGTGTGTGTGTGTGTGTGTGTGTGTGTGTGTGTGTTTCTCAAACAGCACAATGTCCCAGTGTACTGTTTGCACTGCATTCTCTTTAAGTGTCAAGTAAGGGCACTGTTGTGAAAGCTATAGACAGAGTATTTAAAAATCGGGGTGGGGGAGGAGAATGGAGGAATACGGAGGCTTTATATTTTCTGACTTGCTCAGTGGATAATTTTCATGATTCAAATGAGGCTGAGAGTACCTTTCCAGGTTTTAAATATTCTCTATCATGTAAGAATGAGGAGGAATCGCTGATCAATTAGGTTTAAAAGCTACTGAAATTCTCAAGAATCATTTAAATAAGGTACTTATGAATGCCCTTAAAGAGACTAGAATAACCTTCTACAAGTCAGCAGGTACATGAGTTAAACGTGTGGTTAACGATGATATAAAAAGAGGTGGTATGTGAAATATCAGTTCATGTGAGGTGCCGCTCAATATTAATTTATATGATATCAATAATGTTTTAGTCTAAATGAACCTTCTGTATATATAAAACACTCCTAATTATTGTAAAACCATTACTTTCCACTCACCATTGATCTTCAGGAAATGAATAAAATTTTGGAATGTGCTGAGACAGCACTATTATTCTGGGGCATTATTCAGAGCAGGTGTCAATCTCTTTCACTTAATCTTGAGGCATGAAAAAAAAAAAGGTTTTTCATTTAATCAAGTCTCAAAAAAAAAAGGAACACATTAAGATAAGTATAACTTTTATAGAGATGTTAACATTCTAATACTCTTTGGGGTAGGTGAAGCTTTTGATTTTCAGCCAGGTTCATAAGAAAACATTAACTTTTATAAGGTGGTGGATACAGTAATTCCCTATAGGAATAGGTCAAGCCTTCAGCAACCTTCCAGATGAGGTTCCCCAAGCTTGAGTCAAGTGACCAGGCTGTCCCTTGTTAAGCAACATTTCAGAGTTGATATGCATCCTCAGCTCCAATGCAAGAGCATGACATTTTCAAGCTATACCTGTCGGGATTTTAAGGAATAATTCTAGAAAATCTAAACCACACACAAGTTAATATAATTATAACTGCTCATGTAAATAACATGTGTAGGTCAAGACTAGTAGGGAAAATTGTGATCATTTCAACTAGAACGAGCTTGCATAAAATCGCTCTATTGCCTACAAGCTCAGGGAAGATTTGCTAATGTAACTGTACCTTCACCTTCAAATACAAGTGGCTTATACTAAGGCTCTTAATTTGAGGACTAATTGGATTGCTTCTTCATTCTCATCCAAAGAACTTCAGTATTACAGCTTCCGTGCCATTTTATGGAACATTTACTGAACACATTCTAAATGCTAAATAGTGGTAAGCACTTGACATAGATTATTATTTAAAAGATTTTTTTTTTGATGTTTAATTTTGATAGAGAGAGACATAATATGAGCCGGCAAGGGGCAGAGAGAGAGGGAGACACCGAATGCAAAGCAAGCTCCAGGCTCTTGAGCTATCAGCACAGAGCACAACGTGGGGCTTGAACCTACAAGCAGTGAGATCACGACCTGAGCAGAAGTCACACGCCCAACTGACTAAGCCACCCAGGCACCTGTAGATTGTTTGGGCCACCTGGGTAGGTCAGTCGGTTGGGCGTCTGACTTTGGCTCAGGTCGTGATCTCACGGTTTGTGAGTTCCAGCCCCGTGTCGGGCTCTGTGCTGACAGCTCAGAGCCTGGAGCCTGCTTGGGATTCTGTGTCTTTCTCTCTCTCTGCCCCTCTTCCATTTATGCTCTCTCTCTATCTGTCTCTCAAAAATAAATGTACAAAAATTTAAATAAAATCTACACCAAACCTTATAAGGCGTAACAGCATCTGACATTTATTTCAGTAATTGTGTCCCAGGCCTTGTTTTAAGCACTTTACATATATTAACTCATTTGATCCTTGTAAAATCCTGAGAGGTGTATTGTATGACTCCATTTTACAGATGAAGAATCAAAAGTTCAGAGAAGTTAAAAGACTGGCCTTGGTCCCACACTCAGTAAGTGACAAAGCTGAAGCTGTTAGACCTCTTGCTCTGCTTGCCTTTACTCTCAGCATAGTGGGCATACATCCGGGGGCACGACGAATCTCGTGAGTCTTTGGTCTGTAGTTGGAGCTGACTACATAATTCTTGGACTCAGTGCTAACGAAAAATGCAAGGCCCCTTGTTCAAAAGACAGGGGGAAGGTGTCATTAAAGATATTAAATAGAAAGTTTTTCCTTGCTTTCATAGCTAATCTCTCAACTTGTCCTGGTGTTTTTAACTAGATATTTAATGTGTCATTCTAAGTGACACAGAATTTAAATATTACATTATTAGCATTCATTTTACCATTAATCTTGATATTGCACAGCGCCAGTGTAAATGTCACTATAAGTTAACTTGTATGTGGGATCACTGAAATCACACAACCTGTATTTCATGGGTCCTATGTGCATATGTTTTGTTCTCACCAGAGCAGTGGAAACACTGCACAAAATGAACTCATCTGTTTTATTCCAGTTCTAGATGTGCACACATTCTGCCAGAGCTCTGCCTTCTGTTTACTCACATATAAGGAAAGACTGAAAGGAAAAGGAAGTGAGGGCTACCCCATCTTCAATGCCATTTTCAGTGTATGTGGTTGTTGACCAGCACAGCGATGTAACATGAGTCAGGTTTTCTCATTCCTTTGTTCTTCAAACGCCAATGGCCTTTACCTCCCTGTGTTCCAAGAAAGTCCTGGTTTGAAAGAAAAGCATGGTCTCTCCCCAATCCCACTCAACCTTAGATGAAACAGGCTTCCTTCGCACTCACTTCCGGTCTCACTGAATTCCCAAGCAGCCTCAGGAACACTACATGCAAATGAGGTGGGAGGGAACAGCCTGCGCCGCAGAATCTCTGCTTCTACGCATGCTCTGTGTCCCACCAGGCTTCCAGCAGGTGCTGGTACCGGTACCAGTGTTCTGGGTCTCTCTCCCACTTCGGCCAGGCTCCAGACGTGCAATCCTGGCTGGGCAAGTTATTCACTGCTCTAAGACTATCTTCTCTTCGCAAAAAGAGAATGGTACCAGATACCTCATAGGGTTGTTTTGAGGAATAACTGAAAGGATACACATAAAAGTCAGCCTAAGGCATGACCCATAGTAAATGCTTCGGAAATGTTAGCGAGCCATGTTGTGTTTCTTGCTGTCTTTTGGATGCATTTTGCAGTTCCGTTTGTTTGAAAATTTTTAACTCTTCAAAAAAGATAATGAAGAAAGCTGGTGAAGATTCATCTTGGAAAAGAGCGAAACTTCTAGTGGAGCACAGCTAGGGGTTTAAGCACAAACCTAGCATCCTTCCCACTACCGCTGTTAATTCAGTTAAGAAAAGCTTCGAATGAAAAAATAAATGGGAAACGTCCCTCTGAGTGGATATTTGTGAAAGGGATGAGGAGAAGCCTTCTCTAGGGGTACATGTGTTTTTATGGGAAGCAGCTAGAGGACTGATCTTAAGTATATGATCCTTGGGTCATATATATATTTAGTATTACAAGCAGCAGACTCTTCTGTTCCTTCCCCAGCTTTCTCCTGGGTCACTGCCTATCTGTGAATTTTCTAAACCCGAGTCACTCAAAGCGGGGTCCCCAGGCACCTGCATCAGAATCACAAATGCAGAATCCTAAGCTCAGTGCCAGAGCTTTGAACTGAAATCCCCAGGGAAGTCCGATCCCCCCAAACTGCCTAACAGGTTGCCCAAGTGCTTCTTATGTTGCTAGGTTTGATAACTCCCGTGGAAGGCTAGAAGCTGGGAAGAAGGAGACCTCTTCTTTTTTTTAATCCTCAGTACCTTGTAGACTTGCTGCCCTTTGTTGAATGTTGGAGAAATGACAGAATCCAAAGCACAAGTGTAAAGGATTTTCCCTCATCCGAGGATCCTTGGAATGGTTCTACTCAGGACTAATAGTCAGTAGGTAAGCCCTGGTAAGTCTGTAAATATATTAAAATTTTTCCACGGGGGTTAGGAAGTACCCAATATTCTGGGCTCTGTGCTATCCTTCTGGTCCAGTTGCCCAGGCTTCCTTGGACTGCCCTCTGATCCATTAACTAAAGCGTTAACCCTTTGTCTAGCATGGGGTCTCATCTCTTCTCACTGGCCAGTAAAGGTGCCAGTCAGCCCCTCGTAAGTCTAACCAATGTGACACCTTACCAGTGGGCTGTGCCGTGCATGTGCCCCTACCCTTTGGGGAGGGGGGTGGGATTGGGAAGGAAGACCTTGGGTGGGTGGTGCCCAAGGCAGTTTACCTCGACTTTGTTATCAAGATCCCCATCTCCATGTGTCCATGAGGCCATGATGGATGGGGTCCTAGTGAGGGAGATGACATTCCTGGAGGTGATGCTGGCACCCCAGCGGGCACATCCTCAGGTTAATGGCCACCACCAGCTGACATACCCACCCCTAGAGATAGATGGCCTTCATGGCCATTTCTGGGAACTGCAGCCTCCATGGGACTTTGGCGCCGAGGGATCCTAGAGGAGACGAGGGGAGCATGAGCCATACAAGAATTTGAGTCTACAAACACGAGGGCTCTGTGGGTATGATTTGACAGATGAGAGCCCGTTTGGTACCGATAATGCATGGAAGGGTTAGTGTGGGGCTGGGAGAAATATGGAGAAGCAGGTTCTCTTTTCATTTATTTGGCCAAGTTTGTTAAAATCACCAAATGCCCTACTATCGTGACATTAGCCACATTACTTTTGTTAACACAAAACGAGGGCGAATACTTACATAGTATTTGTCCTGTGCCAAGCATAATTCTTAACTTATTTGAGTTACTATAATTATCACCATATAACATAGATGAGGAAATGGAGACCCAGAGGTCAGTTAAACCTCAGGAAGCAAAGCCATGATTCGAAACGCAGGCAGCCTGACATTAGAGAACAAACTCATAAATGCCATGTCTCTTCTTCAGTTTACATTCAAAAAGTTTGTGTGTGTGACTTAGTTGGTAACAAAGATCTGGAATACACACACACACACACACACACACACCCTGTAATACAATGGATAGAAACATTTTGAATGAAATTGTTGTCAGTTCAGCAGATGCTATGTTCACCATGAACCATACTGCTGATATTAAGAGAAGTTCTCTACCTACTGAGACCCAATATAGCCTGATAACTATCAAGGTATTGAGGAAGTCATTGGAAAAGCTACTTGTGTATTCCTTTGTCAAGTCATGGTTCAGACAGGAGCATTGTTAACCTAGTGGAAGCATGTCAAACAAAAGTTCAGTAACCATTGTTAAAGATCAACAAATGATTTAAAAATATTTTTTATTGTTTATTTCTGAGAGAGAGATAGAGACAGCATGAGCAGGGGAGGGTCAGAGAGAGGGAGACATGGAATCCGAAGACAGGCTCCAGGCTCTGAGCTAGCTGTCAGCACAGAGCTGGATGCGGGGCTCAAACACACGAACCGTGAGACCATGACCTGAGCCAAAGTCGGATGCTTAACCAACTAAGCCACCCAGGTACTCCCAAATGATTTTGATAGTATTAGGAATTGATGGGCTACTTGCGTTAAAACTCATATATCTTATCTATATCTGTATCTATATCTATTTATCTATGCTTCTGTTTAGAGAATACTGGGAATTAAATGTTTTAATTTATATGTTGACTAACTCCCTACAGGGGTTTAAATATTTTATCACTTCATTTTTGCTTATTCACTTCTCCATTTTATTCCTTTGGTCCACACTTGACAAGGGCGGGGGAGGGGAAGATTAGCTCTCTGACCGAGCTCTTGATATGTTAAACTTTTCAAGTTTCAGTCTCAGGTTTGTTCCTTGTTTGGCTCACACTTCTTTGCTAGAGAAGTAGGTAGACTACCTGCTTTGGGTGGAAAAGGCTATCCTCACTATTGAGTGGAAATGTGGGCGAGAAGGCTATTCCTCAGTAGGCTGTTTTTTCCTTGTGTAAACCCAGTGAATTGAGCTGTCATATTTAAAGTTTTATTGGTTAAGATTTCAAGTTAGGACTGGAGCCATTCTTTCGCAGCTTCTTCAGGGCCACATGTGGAAAAGAACAAATGGAAAATTCAGTGATGAGCTCTGAAGAAGGCCGTAAGAAACAAAGAGTGTCTAGTCCCTATGGTCTCCAGGAACACTGAAGGGCAGGGAGTTGTTTAGCCACTTAAAAGCAGAATGGAAATACAAGGCTTCTTCGATTTAATATATCAAACCAACGTATGTGATGATCTGGGCAAAGCATTGCAATTTCTAGCCAGTCCAGTCATGATTCTCTGGCAAACTGCACAGTCATGGTTATGATGCATTGGGATAAGAGGTGCTATATAAATGTTAGATGTTACATAAATGTCAGGAATGATTATTGTTTGTTAATGGGGGCTAAACTGTTCCTAAGCAAAACCCTGACTCCCAGCCAACACGTCCGTAGCAGAGATTCTAACTACCAAATAACGCATGAGAACAGAATGCTCCCAACCTCGTCCTAGAAAGGAGCCCAGCTGGGATCTGGAGTTTGAAAACAGGGGCTGTGGTGCCACTACTTACTCAACTAACTTCAGACCAGCTCCCTGGCCTCCTGGAGTCTGCTTTAGCTTACCTGTAAAATGGGGAGAATAACACCTGTCCTATTTTCTCCTATCTGTGCTCAGTCGCTGTGAGCAGCAGGGGCGTTCACATGCGTGCGAGTGCCCTGTGAAGGGTGAGCCGCTGCAAGAATGACAGCGGTCATCGTGGATCGGCTGGAATTTAGCTTATGCTTTCCCTTTGAGCCCTACCCGCAAGGAGAAATCCGAAAGGAAATTAAGCTGGGGATCCGGATGGGGACTGGCCACAGCTGAAAGCGGCAGGCTCCTTCTCTCAACGGAGCTGTCAGGAAAATACTGCAGACCAGACGCCCGGATCCTGCATTCTGGCTCTGGCTCTGCCACTTGCCAGCCTGTGAGCTTGGGCGAGTTACAGAGGAGGCTCTGGAAGTGATCGCCAAGGGCCCTTCCGGCTCTGACGCGGAGTCTAAATCAGGCTCATCGCTTGGCTCTAGCCGTGATTTACCTTTCGCTTCCTGGAGAAACTCCCCTCCAGCTTCTCAGACACACGAAGCGGGGGGCTTGGAAAGGGTGGGCGTTGTGTGTTCCTTGTGAGGGTGCACAGTAAAGAAGTTATTCCCTTGGAGGTGAGGCGGCGGAGGGGATGGTGAAAAGGGGTGCCAAGTGAAGTGTTCTGGGAAGCCAGGATTCAGGGAACACTCTAATGAGATCACGACTGTCGCAGGCGAAAAGGGGGTGGACATCTGCTGGTGGGGGAAGGGGGCAGCGTTCTGCATTTCTGTTTGTAGAAAGTCTCTTCCCGCACACTTTAGCACTCCCTTAGCCCCCCAACCCCCTGTCCCATCCCCATCTCTCAAACGCTACCAGGCCCTCCTTGGGGAGCCTGTGTCCGTGCCTCCTCCGTGGTCCTGTCTGAAACCGTGAGGATTGTTTCCAAGCTGACTCACACCACTAATGTCAGGGAGCCGTGTCACACGGCGCTGGGCTCTGCAAGCTGTTGCTTGCGCGGTCGCCGCGGCGGCCGCCGCTCGGGGGCGGGTGCATCAGAGTCCGCTCTTGGGGCGGGGGCGAGGCGGGGCCGGGGCGGGGCCCGCCCCCTTGGCGCGCCGGCCCCGCCCCTCCTCTCCCTCCCCCGCGGACCGCAATGATTTAGAAGTTCAGGAATCCCACGTGACGTCACCGGGGGGGTGATGTAATGCACTCTAAATAGAATGTATTGTAATCTTTGCTCAGTCCAACGTGGTCCCTTCACCCGGGCTCCGCTCTTGCCTTCTCCACACTTGTTTGGTAAGTTCCTAAAAATACGGCTCGGCCACTTCTGGGGCTTTTGCATTTAGCTACTTTTGTTGCACTTGCCGCGGGAGCCATCTCGGGAGCCTACTTGGTTTGCAGGGGTTGGTTCTCGGCAGCAGCCGCGAGATCACTTGGTCCAGTGGGCAGGTCACAGGGCAAGGAGTAGGGAAGATGCGATGCATTTTTTTTGGAGGGTGATCTGTGTTTGTAAACACTTTGGCGGACCAGAGGGAAGTCCGGCCCCACATGCTGGTGGACTGTGGAATTCTGCTGTGTCCCGAGGCCACCCCAGAGACCCCACGCCGTGTCCGTTCTGGAGCGCGTCTCGGTGGCCGCCGCGCCGAGCGACTGGAGGGATGCTAACGTGGAGCGAGCGCCGTGTCTTCCCCGGCGTGGTGCGTGTGTGGGAACGCGCGTGTGTTTCCCTGACACGGGGAACAGTTATGAATCGGGGGTGTGTGTTTGCCTCCAGAGACCTGGCAAGGTGCGGAACCCTCCAGAAGTGCGGTCAAGCGGAGGCAGCGGCGGTGGCAGCGGAGACGGCGAGCCAGGAACCTCCCCCCGCGTCCCCAACTTCCCGGTGATGCGGCGGAACCCCCGGAGAAAGTTTGCAAACTTCCAGCGGGCGCGGCGAGGACGCCGGGTCACCTAGGGGGCGGACGGGCGGTCGCGCGGAGGGCTCGCTCCGTCCCGGTGCCGAGCCTGCTGCTGCCACCTCTCCCGCCGGGCTGCCCGCCGCAGCTGGTGGGCGCGCGCGCCCGCGGAGGGGACGTGGCCCTTGAAGGGCACTTGGCTCTTGCCCCAGGCGCGGAAGGCTCGAGAGTGGCGCGGCTCTGCTCGCTTTCACTCCTGCAGTCGTCTCCTGCCTCCGTCTGGTTCTCGCTGGCATCATTACCTCTCCGCCGCCGCTGCCCCAAATGACAGCTCCCGGTTTTGCCGCGGCAGCGCGGTGGCAGTTCCCAGGACCCGGCGGCGGAGCCTTCCTGTCCGGCGGATTCTCCACGCAACCACTTAAACTTTTCACCAAGTTCTTAAGAGGGGCAAGATGCGCGAAGGAACCAAGGACGTGTTCTCTCCAGGCAGCCGCATCCCGCTTCT